ATCGATCCCCTGGGTGGCAGAAACCTGACCACCACCACATCTTTCTTGCGCCCATCCCTCTTTTCGATTGCGATCCCATCATCCGATAGTGAGACAAGACCAGGGGGGGCCGATAGACGAGAGTGAAAATCCGGGTAAAATCTACCCTCTCCAGATTCGGCTGTCACTTCATATACGCTTGCCTATCCTGGCCGGCTACGGAATGCCTTTTCGGCTTCATATCGGGTCTTCCGAACAAAACCAATGACCGGATCGTCATTCCAGCTGCTTAATATGAGCTCCCCCAAGTTCCGGGAAAGAGTGAAGCCTCGCTACAACTACCCCGCGGGCCGGCCGCGGGAGTTGTTCCAGGCCAGCTCACACACTTGTCATATTTGTCGGCTTCGCAACCGGGAACGACCCTGATTACCTTTCCAGCCGCCTGGAGACTCTATTCATTCATGAAAGGCCCTTTCCGTGCTGAAGAATAGGATCTGCAACGTTACGAATGTTGCCATTGTACTCCCGCACCAAGGAAGGGACTCCTCGGCACGCCGCTATTCCTACGAACTGACACACACACTCCCTCTCCAGCGACCCCGTGACCGGAGCCCACTGGAGTACCGCCACATTCTTTCGAGGGCACGCCTGGGCAATTATTGCTCTCACTAATTGCCGCATATAGCTTTGTTCGATCCTTACCCGGAAAGTCTGCTAGTGCAGCTACAGCAGCAGCCTGATGCACTCGTCGGCTCCCTATTGGCGAGCCCACATCGACAGCTTCCAGATGAATGATCAGCCGGGAGAGAGAAAAACGGCCGTCCTTCTCTGACGTGGTTCCCCGGCCGGGAGTATGTACGACTGTCTCGGGAATTCCAAAGCTGCTTTTTGGCGTACCGCCGCAGGTCTCCAGGGCACTGGCAGAATACACCCTGGACACTTGGCGCCTGCGGGCTTTTGGCTGAGCAACGGGCCGGGAAAAGCCGCCGTGTTTGGGATGATGAAGAGGCTCCATTTCTCCCCGTGCCGCTGCTGTCTCATGAGCCTCAGGTTTTCTGCTAACCGCCGGAAATCAAGGTCACTGTGAATGAAATACCGAGCCGTCTTGCTCGGCTATCCTTATTTCCTGGATAGTGCCTCGCTGGCGGGCAGCGACGGGGTCGTGGGTTTGATCATCGATTATCTGGATGCCATCGTTTACCGTGGGGTGGTTGATATCGGCCAGTTCGACGCGATGCCCTCCGACCGACCCATGTGGCGTCTCCCTTTTTTCTCGCACGCATGGCCGGTTGTTTTTTCCAGGCATCGGACATGATTGTCTGGCTGATCTCCTCCCTTATCAAACTTCTCGACGGGCGTGTCAGACTGCGGCCAGCCTGGAACACAAGAGGAGTAAACCCGGCCACGGCGCTATTGCATACAGAGGTCCAAGGTCCTACCTGTCTCGTGTTGGTCCGCCCAATGCTAGCCCGGGCTGCTATAGGAGGGGAGTTAACATCGAGCTTGATGCTATGGCCCCGACTGTGTTAGTTGTCAGCTGGGCCCAAAACAAGGTGAGACATGGAATTGATGAATGAAGCGCGCCGGGTGCCTTTTACCCAGACCAGCTATACCCCTATATCACATCCTTAATGGACGAAAAGAATACGCCACCTGCCATGGCGGCGGCAGCCGTGTGTGGGTATTTCGGTCACAATGCTGGGAGTAGGTATGAGTCCAAATGCACGACATTCTTGGTCATCGTCCGTATCCTTGAATCAGAAGCTGGTCGGCCTAGCCGTGATTGTAGGGACAAGTGTTCGTTGTGAATCGTTTGAAGGGGGTTGTATGATTGCCGGTGGCCGGATGGACGCGTGGGCGTGTATGTACATACCTGGGTCAAGGAGAGCACACGGGATGCCTGCTCGGCTGAGAGGTGAAACGGTGGCTGGTACAGACCGACGTGTTTACGACCGTTCTTCGCTTGCTCCCGGATAAGCCAGGAAGGGCCCAAGAAGGGCGTGGAACTTTAGTGTAAACTGGGCATTCCTTCACTAGGTAGCTTCAAAGTTGGTTGGTTCCCGCCACGTCGGGCTTGGTTGTTCTCTGGCGTCATTCATCTCTGTGCTTTTTGCACATGACAGCTGTCTTGGTTCTAGCCATTAGATAATGAGGATGGTAGTTAATGGCTCCCTCGAGAGGAAAGAGGTGCATGTTCTGCATATCTAACTATGCTTTTCGCATCGTTGGTGGTGTCTTGGTTGTCATATCCCAAGATGAGAGCGCGTACGCATGATGCTACAGACTCTTGTAGGTTATCCTAGAAGGGACTCCCATGTCCCATGAGTCGAAAGGTAAAACTTGGGGTTGAGCGTTGAACTTGAACTGTACCGTACGTCCGTACGTTGTGGGGCAGGCCTTGCTGGCCATGTTGTGGGTTTAGGAAAGATCTTGAAGCTGTCCACTTCAGTCCCGGCATTGGTTACATTGAATTCAATACTCGTGGGATAAGAAGTCATTTACTTTTCCCCAGTATAATCTAGAGCGATGTAAGGCATGTCCTGGCGTCCATTGAGGAGCTGCAAGAAGATAATCGCGAGCTTGAGCTTTTAATTCGGTCGAGTTTTATCCATCCTTCTCCTGCGATGTCCAACTGTTAGCCGATCCTACGGCGATTGATAACTGGTGACATGGTGATACATAACATGAAGAGGTTGTATTTGCTGTTAGTGACATCCGTTCTTACTCCTACTACGGGCTGTGGTAGTAGTTTTAAATCTTTTTAGAGGTGATCCGTTGACCAAAACAAGTATGTTGCTGTTGACAAAAGATGATTCTTTATCTTGCAAGGTATATATGGGCCGTATGTTTCATGTCTGTAATATATCGAACGGCGTATATTTTTTATATGGTCCAGTCAACATCGATACGCTCCATGGAGCCGTAAATATATGCTGGTGATAGTTGGAGTTAGCCAAGGGCTCGGTTTCCAAATGAAATGGACTCGGCCGTGATAGCATGGCCTATGACGAGATGTCGAGATCGCATAGCTCATCTTAGAGTGAAAACAGGACATAATTTTGAGAGGCTTTGGGTCGCTGAAAGGAGGTTGCCTGACTGCAGACTCTTGTTGAAGAGCTCGAAGTGTGGACCGAGCGGAGGGTGAGTCAAGGACTTAGTGGTTTTTACTTGGCTATATACTTGTGACGAAGGTATGGATTCCCTGTCAAGGTCCGGCTTGATTGCAAGTCCAAGATAGTTATAATCTTGTTAAACCCCTAGATGTGAAACTTGGGCATCGGCTAGCTCAGGGGAGGATTGGGATGCATCCCATTATCCATGACTTTCGACTTCTGAAATACCGCCCTTTTTTGTGGGTTGCGAGCGTGTAGAATTGTTGAAAGCCCGCCTAGACCAGCCCTAACTTCTCCAGCATTCTACATCATTGTTGGGCGTCGCGAGATTGTCGTTTCGCAATTTGGTAGTAACCTAGTAGTCGTCACCCATACCATCTAATTCGATATAACTGGGCCTAGAATTGCAGCAGACCATTAAATTATCCATGGGGAGTCCACAATCTTACGGCGTCTTAAGCATATCCAACTGTTGTTGAAGAATGGTCGTGACAGGTGCAGAACATCGGGGTTCTGGAAAGTAAACAAACCCCTGAGCCACATCCTAGGCGACTCAACACGCCGCGCAACCAGGCATAATTTAGTATATTGACCGGATTTCACGAAAAAAGCAGCATAATATTCTTGATGTGACCCAGCCTTGAGGCGAGGGTAGCTTCACGCGGCAACAAAGCCGCATTCATCTGCAACTCGGTATTTGCGACCTGTTCGCCCCTCGAGGCCAGGTCCCGTTTCTTCATCAGCAGTCGCCGACTCTGAAGATACTCAACAACACACCACTCCTGAAATCAACCCCAACAACCACCTCGACCAAAAGATCAACCCACCATCGCACACACGACACATTAACACTGCCCGCGGGCCTTGGTCAACATGCGCCTCAACGCAGTAACCTCCTCCATCCTCGCCCTCCTCACCCTGGCCCTCCCCTCCGTCACCCTCGCCGCGCGTCCCAAGAATGCAATCCTTCTCTCCGAGGTATGTTGACCCTTTTATCTCCCCACCTACCCCCCCCCCACCCCCCCAAAGGGAGAGCGCAAAAAGATCATTTTTTCCTATTCACACCTGCCTGCTATGTGTCCAAACAATGTGTTAAAAAGCCACTGCGGATCATGGGACCCGGTCTCTTGTCATTCGAGAAAGCGGACTCGGCAGCCAGAGTCTATGTTACAGGGGA